CACACACTCATCAACGCTTTTGATTTTCTGTTTCTTTTGATTTAGCCTCTGCATGGGTATGAGGCGGTACAACGTTTGATATGCGTTTCTGTAATGATTATGGATGTTAAGCATCTCCTCGTGTGCCTATTGGCCATTTACATATCTTCTTTGAATAAATGTCTATTCAACTCCTTTGCACATTTTTGAATTGGTTGCCTTTTGTTGTTGTTGTAGAATTTTAGTTCTCTGTATATTCTGGATAATAATCCCTTACCAGATACATGGTTTGTAGCTGTTTTCTCACATTGGGTGGATGTTCATACAGTAAATTGCTGTACAGTAATGAAAACGAATTCATTTACTCATTCAACAAATGTTTACTGAGTGGTTATTTTATGCCAGATACTCATCTAGATATCGGGGGTACAGTTACGAATAACACAGGTTAAACCCCTCTCTTCAAGGAGTTTATAATCTAGTGGGGAGACAGGTCCTCAGCAAGGTACGTAAAATAGATTGTGTAGTAGATAGTGTTAAGGGCTAAGAAGAAATAGTGAAGCAGAGAAGGGAGATGCTAAGGGTTGGACATGAGGTGGGGCATGACAGTTTAGGTGGGGTGACCAGGAATAAAGGCCTGAGGCTGGGGGTCGAGGAGGAACAGACTGGGACGGAGTAAGCCAGTTGTGTCAAAATGGACCGAGTTGCTTGAAAAAATATTAAATTGTAGAGTGATGTATGCAGTAACACACCATTCCTGTTAATCTAACAACCTCTAGAATAGGGCTTCTTAATCTAAATAAAATTAATTACCTACAGTTGTAAAGGAAGCCAATTATATTAAAATAATTATAAAATTTTTAATGGATTCGTGTTACAATATGTGCTCTCTTATTCGAGCATTAAGTGACAAGGCAATACATGTAAAACATAGGCAAGTTAAGGTGTCATCTTTTAAAGATCTGTCAGCGTGAGGGCTCTTGTTGACCAGCTCAAATGGGGATTGTAAACTGAGGGATGGCCTTTGACTTACCTCCTTCCGTGTGTTGATCAATACAGTTGTAGGGAATTGTAAAGTACATAGCTAGACCACCCATGTGAGAACTTGGGACCTGGCCACTCACAGTCTGAACGATTAACTGCCCGGCACAGAGCTGCCTACGAGTCGGTTGGCCGTGTCGCATGAGTGCTTGTAGACAGTCTGGCTGCTGGCCTGGCACCTATACTGTAATTTCAAAGTCGTTTGAGATACGAGATATTTTGAGTTACCTCTAATCACGATGATGCGACATGAAAATCTGAATTCTGGTGATAAAGTCGCAGGCACTGCTAATATGATTGTACTTTTGTCTATATTTATAGCCGAAGGAAGTGATGAAGTTTGCTTGGAAGTTTGTGAAAATAAAGATGATTTCTTTTTCCAGTTTGAATTCAGGGACACCCCGATATCTGCTGTGGATCCCAGTTTAAGAATCTTGTTTTAAAACAGTACGATATTATTCATGGCTACACACACACACACACGCAGATATCTACAAATGGATTGGAATAATACACACTAAATTCATGATTGTAGTTGGATGGTGTGTAACGTCACAAAATATGTTATAAAAATAATCATGGCATTCAAGGTATAAAACCACGTCACAAGCCCCTCAATATCCAGGACCCACTGGGGCCGGCGCTTCCTCACATTGCGCATTTATCTTGGCAGTCCTGGTTCTTGATGGAAAAACAGCTGCTGTGACAAAGGTGGCGTCCCCATCTGTCCAGGGCGGTTACTTGGGTTCAAATCCCAGCGTCCCTGCTTACTGGCTGTAAAGCTTTGGGCCGATTATTCCACACATCTGTGCCCTCGTTTCCACGCCTGTAAAATGAGGATTATGACAAGCGCTCAGCAACAGTACTAGCCTTGTAGGGCTGATGGGAAGATTTAGTGAGAGTAGACTTGTGAAACTTCTAGAAAAGTATCTGGCTTTTAGTAAATGCTAATAAGGGCTACTCATTATTATGGCCATCACCATAACCATTTCTGACATCTTGGGGGTTTTGGTTTACTCTTAGTTTCATTTCACACATACCTTAATTTCTTTTTTGTTTTTTAATATTTATTTATTTATTTGGCTGCATTGGGTCTTGGTTGCGGCACGCGGGATCTTCCGTTGCAGCGCACGGGCTTCTCTCTAGTTGAGTTGGCGCGTGGGTTTTCTCTCTCTAGTTGAGGCGCGCGCGAGCTCAGTAGTTGTGGCGTGTGGGCTTAGTTGCCCCACTGCATGTGGGATCTTAGTTCCCTGACCAGGGATCGAACCCGCGTCGCCTGCATTGGAAGGCAGATTCTTTACCACTGGACCACCAGGGAAGTCCCAACATACCTTAACTTCTAAACGTGTTCATGGCAAATCTTTAGTTTAGATGCTTTTGCACTTCAAGAGAAAAGAACAAAACCAAAACCGCTTTGGCTGAAGCTTACTGCTTCTTAATGGACAGGACTGTTCAAGCGGGATTCCTGGCGTCAGGCAGGCCCGAGTGTGTCTCAGTTCTTCTCTCGCCAGCTGAGTGACAGTGGCAAGTTATTTACTCTTAGCTTGGGTCCCTTATGTGAGAAAAGGGACTAACTGGTAGCAGTCCCTACATCCAAGGGGGCGATTGAACGAGTCCATAGGTGGGAAGGTCCTAGAGAGGTGAGGGTATTGTGGACCTGTCCTAACTCTCCTCCTCCTTTCAGCCCTCAGGGTGGGCTTCCTGGAGGGGGTCCCGCTTGAGCCGAGTGGAGGTTTTGTAAGTGGCGTGGCTTGAGCACGGTGTGCCTGGGGATGGTGTCAGGCAGGGCTGCGCTCTGTTCTCACTTCATCCTCAGACTCCGCGACACCTTCAGGGTCTGTAGGCGGTGGAGAAGTGAGCTTGTATATGCATGTTAGGAAGGTGACCCTGAGAAGCAGTGGGGAGGGTCTGGAAGGGAGGAAGAGGTCGGAAGGCCAGTTAGAAGGGAGGTGGAGGAGAGTGGTGGCCCTGGCGTGAAAGGACAGTAGAGAGGGCGGGGAGGTGGGGGGGCGGGCAGGAGCGCCTCTGAAGGCCGGGCTGGCCTCCATGATTCTGCACGGCGTGCCTGGTGCCTGACAGGGCCCTGCACGCGGGACCGCAGCAGCGCACCCCTCCTGAGTGACTGACTGCGGTGCTTAGCAGACAGAGTTAGATGGTGCCCCAGTTTCCTGCTTCCTTGGCCTGGTAGACGGTAGCTGTTGGCAGGAATCTCAGTGTGGAAAGAGGACTGGATTGCAGGGGGTGATAAGTCTAATTTGAAGATGACCTTGAGGTGCTCTGGGACGTCCGGAGAGTGGGTGCAAGTCCAGGGCTCACGATCTCAGTTGAAATGGGGGGAGTAGTGGAGCAGAAAGGAAGGCTGAGGAGGAAGGCCCCGTGTCTCCCACCTGCACCCACTAGGCAGCCACTGTCAAATCTCTGTCTGCAGCCAGGCCTTCCCTCCTGAGCCTAAAACAGCCCCCCATCTTCTGGTGTCTTCCTCTCCAAACTGGGAGCGCGTCACTTCCCCGAGAAACAGGACCTTCCTCCTGATTTCCCTGTTCCTCCCAATAGTCCTGGAGGCTTTAGTCACCAGCCCAAACTGTGATGTTTTTAGATAACCAACGAGAACCTACTGTATAGCACAAGGAACTCTACTCAGTGCTCTGAGTAGGGTTCAGGAAGGAAATCCAAAAAAGAGGGGATACACGTATACAAGTAGCTGATTCACTTTTCTGTGCAGTAGAAACTAACACAACATTGTAAAGCAACTATACTCCAATAAAAATTAATTAAAAAAATAATCACCAAACCAAACCAAACCAAACCAAAACAAAAAAACTGTATGTTTTCTCTTGGATAAAATTCAGTAAAACTTCAGTTCCTCAGAATGCTTGAAATCGAAGGTTCTAATTTCTCGGAGTTAAACTTCTTTTAAAGGTCAGTTGTTTAAAAACCTCTTTCTAAAATATCATGTAATTGCTTTTCCCACCATTCTTGTCTCGCTAGGGACAGTCTTCTTCTCCCAGACCTTCCCGAGACTCACACCCCAGGTCTCTGCCTAAGCGTGACCCTCCAGAGGGGTCTCTCCTGGTCCTGCCTCAGCCCGAAGAGCATCCTGCGCCTGCGCCTTGCTCGATTTTGTTTCAACTGTTTATCACTGTATGATTGGCTCATTTTTTTCTTATCACTTGTCATTAAGTGATTCTTAATCTCTCTCCCTCACTAGAATGGTATTTTTTTACCACTGTATTTCCTGCACTTTGAAGGTGTTTGGTATATAGTGGGTGCTTCATAAATAATTGTTGAACGAATATTTATAAGCAGCCCTTTATGATATTAGGTCCGGTTTACAAACTTGGATATAGGCTTAGCAGAGCTGCTTACAAAGGTCCAGGTCACCTGATTTCTAAAGGACAGAGCCAGTGACTGACTGCCTCGGTGGGATTTTCACACTTCATCAGGGTGCCTTCCAGATCCCTCATCGTAGGTACCCAAGCTACTCAAACAGAATACATGAATGGAAGAAGTTGTCAGAAATGGAGGTTTCTGGGACTTTCTTGGTGGCGCAGTGGTTAGGAATCCACCTGCCAATGCAGGGGACACGGGTTCGTGTCCTGGTCCAGAAGATCCCACATGCCACGGAGCAACTGAGCCCGTGTGCCACAGCTATTGAGCCTGAGCTCTAGAGCCCGTGAGCCGCAACTACTGAGCTCACGTGCCGTAGCCCACCCGCCTAGAGCCCGTGCTCCACAACAAGAGAAGTCACCGCCATAAGAAGCCTGCACACCGCAGCAAAGAGTAGCCCCCGCTCGCCACAACTAGAGAAAGCCCGTGCGCAGCAACGAAGACCGAAGGCAGCGAAAAATGAATAAATAATTTTTTTAAAAATGGATGTTTCTGATTGTTACAAAAATGCCTTGCTTTTTTCAAATTTAGGAGGATATGGCAAAAAAATCGGTCGTAGTAAAAATTGGAGGGAGATACTGAAGCTGCCCCCCGGCACCCAGTGCAGCAAGCTTCGACATTCGATTGGTGAGTAAGGAAGCCGCACCTGCTCGAGTCCGGAGGTCATGGCTGGCGTTGTGCTGTTTCGTTTGTTAGATGTTGGTCTTTCCTTAGTCCCTTATTTGCTTCAAATGCTATTTAATAGATTCTCCATATATCGTCACGATTCTTCCCAGGAAAAAACCCTGTAGATTTTCTAATGTGCAGTTATAAAGTATGGCTATTGACTTTTTCATTAAAAACCTTTTTTAAGAACTGGGACTTCCCCGGTGGTCCAGTGGTTAAGACTCCACGCTTCCAATGCAGGGGCTGCAGGTTCGATTCCTGGTCGGGGAACTAAGATCCCACATACTGTGGAGCACGGCCAAAAAAAAGTGATATATACCCATTGTTCTAGGTAGAACAGAAGAGAAATGCAGCAGTCATCCTCTCTAGAAGTGAACACTGGTAACCGTTTCTCGGTCTCCTTCCAGACAGTTCTCTGTGCACATGGACAGGAATTACTGGTGAGAACTTCAGGAAAGGAATAGTCAGATAAAAAATAAGGTATGGCGGGGTCATGGGATACTCTGCAATGTAAAGAAGGAGAGAGTTAGCTACAGGTCCTGACATGAGCACAAGAAGTCACAAGTAGAGTCATGTCTAAGGGCAATTATAATTGTATTTTTTTAGAGACATGATTTCCAGTTCAAAGGGTATGTGCATTCAAAATTTTGATGTTCCCAAATTACCCTTCAAAAAGGTTGTATCGTTTTACCCTTGCCTATGACCTGGCCAACACTGGTCGTTATCAATGTTTTTAACCTTTACTAAAGTGTAATTTGAAAAATGGTCTCTTGTTTTAACTATGGATGGGGTTGAGCATTTTCATTGGGTTTTTTCAATTTGCTTTTTTCTAATTCATTTTTGAAAGTTCTTTATATATGAAAGGTGTTGTCCTTTTATATTCATTGTGAATACATTTTGTATTTATGCTTTTTGCCTCTTGGCTTGCAGTATTTTTCAATATGGCAGTTTTACTTTTTTATATAGACAACTATATCAATGTTTTTCTTCTTAGTCTCTGAGCTTTATGTTGTACTTAGGGAGGACACCTTTATTCCCTAAGATAATTTTTTTAAAAATCTATCTTTTCTTTAGTACTATTATAGTTCCTTTTTAAGAAAGTTTAAATATTTTATCTATCAAAATTAATTTCAGATAGTATAAAGTGGGAGTATTTTTTCCCCAAAGACCTATCCAGCCATTTTAATGTCATTACATTTTTTTCCTCATTATGTTTTAAAAATAGCAGTTTTATTGAGATATAATTAACATGCCATACAATTCACCTATTTAAAGTGTACAATTCAATAGTTTTTAATACATTCTCAGAGTTGTGTGACCATTATCACAATCAGTTTTTCAATTTACAGCATTCTCATCACCCAAAAGAAACCCCATACCCGTTGGTAGCCACTCCCCATTCCCTCCCCCACCTCTAGCTACAGGCAACCACTAATTTCCTTCTGTCTCTGTGGACTTGCCTATTCTGGACATTTCATATAAATGGGAAACATATACTATGTGATCTCTTGTGACTGGCTTCTTTTCACTTAACGTAATCTTTTCAAAGTTCACGCATGCTGTAGCATGAATCAGAACTTAATTCCTTTTTGTTGGCAAATAATATTCCATTGTATAGACATATCACACTTCATTTATCCATTCATCATTTCATAGACATTGAGTTGTTTTCGTTTTTGGTCTGTTGTGAGTAAAGTGACTACAGTGACTCACGTACAAATGTTTTTCAAATTGTGGTAAAATACACATAAGCAAAAGGACCATTTTGAGAATGTAGACTCCCTCCTGCTGCCGTCTCCTCACCACGAGGGGACTCAGAATTGGAGTGAGTCGCCTTCTGAGATGCACTTGTCACCGGAAGCTGGCCTCTCCGTCCGACACTCACCACCTCCCTCTGGCAGCAGCTGCTCGTCCGCTGGCTGGTCCCCTGCCCCGTCCCCCTGTCCCAGCCCCACTGCCCCCGTCTCCTCCACGGCCCCAGATCCAGACGGCCCTCAGAAGTGAGCAGGTCCCATAAGGTCTCTGCTGTCCTCACAATGCCCAACTTGTATTATTGTGAAGTTCAAATGAAATAATACACAGAAAGGACTTAAATCATAGTGGCACGCAGTAAGAGGTGAAAAATATTACGGGTAGTTATTATTTTTATCTGTTCCTTCTAGGAGAGAGAGAAACTCCTTAGTCTGGCACCAAGGCTTTTTGAAAATCTGATCAGTCTTTTTAAATTTAAATTTAATTTATTTATTTTAAAAAATTTATTTATCTTTGGCTGCGTTGGGTCTTTGTTGCTGTGTGCGGGCTTTCTCTAGTTGTGGCGAGCGGGGGCTGCTCTTCGTTGTGGTTTGCGGGCTTCTCATTGCAGTAGTTTCTCTTGTTGCAGAGCATGGGCTCTAGGCATGCGGGCTTCAGTAGTTGTGGCACGTGGGCTCAGCAGTTGTGGCTCGCGGGCTCTAGAGCGCATGCTCAGTAGTTGTGGCGCACGGGCTTAGCTGCTCCTCAGCATGTGGGATCTTCCTGGACCAGGGCTCGAACCCGTGTCCCCTGCATTGGCAGGCGGATTCTTAACCACGGCGCCACCAGGGAAGTCCCTGCCATTCATTTTAGGAGATTTCCTTATTATCCAGATAAACGTCCATGCTTTTATGCACATGCAGAGCACTATCCAGCCCATCCCACAGTGTTTTGTCATTAATCATATTTGTATTTAATTTCTAAGCCCACGCTCTTTGTTCTGTGACTTAATTTTAATCCTCAAATTTCTCACTCTTGAGGGTGCCCTGTATTCTTTTTCCAGATCACGTTTCATTCTTTTTGTTGTGATTTTGTCTTTGTTCCTTTCAGTAGGAAGCTGGGTAAGAAGGTTGGCAGACCTATGCTCCATCTGCTACCTCAGTGGAAACCAGGAACATTTCTGAACCTTTGAGTTCGGGAGGAAAGAGTTAAAAACTCTCAACTCGGGCTTCCCTGGTGGCGCAGTGGTTGACAGTTCGCCTGCCGATGCAGGAGACATGGGTTCGTGCCCCGGTCCGGGAAGATCCCACATGCCGCGGAGCGGCTGGACCCGTGAGCCATGGCCGTTGAGCCTGCGCGTCCGGAGCCTGTGCTCCGCAACGGGAGAGGCTACAACAGTGAGAGGCCCGCGTACCGCAAAAAAAAATTAATTAATTAAAAAAAAAATCTGGCACAAATGAACCTATCTACAAAACAGAAACAGACTCACAGACACGAACCCGTGTCCCCTGCATCGGCAGGCAGACTCTCAACCACTGCACCACCGGGGAAGCCCCATAACATAGTTTTTTATTATTTCCTTGACCCTATTACCATTTGTTCTTTAGAGAAAAACTCCGTATTATTTGTCTGTTGTTGTCCCTGTGTATAAGCCTCTTGGTATTCCGACAGGGAGTGTTTATTTGCTGTTTCATAGTTGATATAGTATCCATTATAGTTTTTTTTTTAATTAATTAATTTATTTATTTTTGGCTGTGTTGGGTCTTCATTGCTGCGCATGGGCTTTCTCTAGTTGCGGTGAGGGGGGGTTACCCTTCGTTGCAGTGCGCGGGCTTCTCATTGCGGTGGCTTCAGTAGTTGTGCACAGGCTCTAGGCACACGGACTTCAGTAGTTGTGGCATGCGGGCTCAGTAGTTGTGGCTCGTGGCCTCTAGAGCTCAGGCTCAGTAGTTGTGGCACACGGGCTCAGTAGTTGTGGCTCGTGGGCTCTAGAGCGCAGGCTCAGTAGTTGTGGTGCACGGGCTTAGTTGCTCCGTGGCATGTGGGATCTTCCCGGACCAGGGCTCAAACCTGTGTCCGCTGCATTGGCAGGTGGACTCTTAACCACTGGGCCACCAGGGAAGCCCTCCATTATAGTTTTATTTATGTGTCTGGTAGTTATGTGGAAATAAAATAGCAAACTTAATGCTCCTGTTTTATCCTGTAGTTGTCTATGGTTAAAGGGCTTCCTGATCAATATCCAGGCATAAATCTAATTTCCTGCGGGTAGTGGAACTGAACGCAAAAATTAAATGTAATTTCATTTTTTGTATTTTTTATTTTTATTTATTTATTTATGATTGAACCCGTGCCCTTGACAGTGAGAGCATGGAGTCCTAACCACTGGACTGCCAGGGAACTCCCTAAATGTAATTTTATATCTAAGTGTTTCCAAGTATGAATCGCTATAATTTCCACCGTGTCTTTTAGATTTTTCCCGTTCTTTATTGGTGAGGTGTCGGCTCACCCGCTGTGGTTTGTCTCGTGTATTGGGCCGCGTGCAGGACACATCCGGACTTCAGATCTTGGTTTAGCCATGGAGATCCCGGAAGGGGAGACCACCCAAGGAAGAGTCGGAACGCTCAGCTACACGGGTACGTAATGTACCACCCCGGGGTGCTCGTGCCCCTGCCCTCAGGACGCAGAGAACTGAACACGGGAAGGGACCTGGGGTCCGCCCTGGCCCGCTGCTGGGGAGCATACCTGGCCCCCCGGCCTGCGCTCCTCTCTGCTGACGGGCCAGAGTAGGGACAGGGCAGTGGGCCTCTCCGCTGTGCTCACTGGCCCCGCACACCCCCACAAGGTTGTCAGAGTTATGCGCGCAGCTCCAGGGCAGTGACCCAGCCTGACGCAGGGGGGCCTCTGACATGAGGGACCCTGAGGGCCTCTGCTGAGTCCCGCACTTACCCTCCCCCCATTCCACTGTGGCTGCTGTCACCTGCTGCTGGGGTCTTACTCTGAGGGAAAAGGGGCGCCCGGGGGCCTGGCTCTGCCTGTTTGGAGGCGGGGTTTCCCCACGGTAGTTACTCCACGAGCAGCAGGAATGGTTTGTAATAACAGCTTTACTGAGATGCAGTTCATGTGCCATAAAACCCACCAACCCAAAGTGTGCAGGTCAGTGGATTCCGGTTTGTTCACAGAGGTGTGCAGCTATCACCACTGTCTGATTCCAGAACTTTCTCATCACCTCAGAGAAGGCCCGCGCCCGTCAGCAGTCACTCCCCACTCCTCACGTCCGCCCCCAGCCCTGCAGCCCCTCATCTGCTTCCTGTCTCCGTGGACTCGTCTCTTCTGGCTGTTTCGTACGGGTGGACTCACGCGCTCTGTGGCCTTTCGTGTCTGCCTTCTTTGGTTTAACGTGTTGGCGAGGGTCATCCACGTGGTGACAGACATTAAGGTTAAGTGTGTTGTTTGAATTAAGTATGAGGGCGTTTAACTTGACTTAATTTACATTTCCTGTGTTTGTTACGTAGCTCCCGAAGTTCTCAATCATGAGAGGTACACATTCAGTCCTGATTGGTGGGGACGTGGCTGTCTGATATACGAAATGGTTCAGGGACAGTCTCTGTTCAGAAAATTCCGAGAGAAGGTCGATAGGGCGGAGGTGGAGCGGAGGGTGAAGGAGGAGGCAGAGCGGTACTCGGAGAAGTCGCGGTCTGGGAGGGTGGGAGTGGGGCTAGTCTTCCGACCGACCGCCGTTCAGGCTCAGGAGGGGCCACCTGGTGCTCCGCGGTGCCAGGGACAGGGCCTTCCTCGGGGGTTCTGATCACGCAGAACAGAGTTCATCGTTTGCTTTCCCCAGAGGTGCAGCTGAGAGGGAAGGGTGGTGTCGGGTCACTGTTTAGAGCACAGCTGGCCAACTTCACAGGACGCTAAACATGAAACAGAATCTTCGGGGTGCTTTGCAGCGGTAAGGTTCTTCTCTCTGCCCACGTTCCTCAGAACTCCCTTTAACTGGTCGCCAGGGACTGTGGTCCTATCGACACCCTGCCCCGATGGCCTGCCATGCGCCTGGCACTGTCAGTCCCAGGCCATCCTGGACGTAAGGGGATGAGAGAAGCTCTCCTTGTCGCTTAACTTCTCTTAAGCCAACACTCAGGATTTTCTGAGCACATTTTAAACTTCATCTGCAGCCAGCGAGAATGTATTGCGCGTCCTCCATGGGACCTTCCCCGGCACTGAGTAAAACAGGCAGTAATCCCAGCCCTTCTGCCCCCAAGGCCGGTGCTCTCACCCACTCAGGGGAGGCGGCCTGGGAGACGGGCATCTTCGGCAGGGACGTGGGAGGGGCTGGCCGCGGGGCGGGGTGGGGAGGAGGGGCCGCACCGGGGCAGGAGGCCGGGGGCTGATGCGCTGGGACTCCCGGGAAGAGATCCACGGGACAGAAGGAGGGGGGCCGGCCCGGGTTTTGTGGAGATTCAGGTGGGAGTCTGAGCCCTGGGTGGTGGCAGAGCGAGTAAGAAGCCGTCGGACTCCGGGTGGACGGCAAGGCCGCGCCCGTAGGATTTGAGAGCCGTGCACCGAGCGGGGAGGGGCTGCAGCAAAGCCCCGGCGCGGAGGCGGGGACTCGGTGCGCGCCGGGCAGCTTGTCCCGTCCTCCTGTGGCGCGCGAGGGTGGGAGGGAGCCGCTGGAGGTGTGCGGAGAAGTGAGGGGCTTCCGGCGCGCCAAGGGCCGCGTGGGCGTCCAGGGAGATCGGTGGTTGGTTGTGTGCAGGCAGGACGCGCGAAGCTCGCAGCAGGCGGGGAGTCGGGCTTGCTTAAGCGGGTCTGAAGAAGCAGGAGCGAGGCCGCGGGGGTGGGTGGGTGCAGAGGGGCGGTTGGAGGAGCGACTGTGGGTGTGCGCGGGTCACAGAGGAGAGTGCGGACACGGGGCAGGTGGAGGCGGGCTCCTTGCCGGAGTTAGACACACGGGGGCGCGCGCTGCGGGGGGAGGGCTGACGGGGTGGGGGGGGAGTGGCAGGATGGAGGACGGAGGACCAGGCCACTGGACTGCGGCCACAGAGCGCGGGGTGTGGTCCCCCAGTGGGTGCTGGGGTCAGCCGGTGTGTCTTGCGGGAGTTGACACTGGCTGGGGATGAAGTACCTAGGGGTCCGTCTCCTCTTGTGTCCACATGTGAAGGGACGTGTGCTGGTGGCCTTTCTCGGGCTGCTCACCCTGCTTGGAGCTGAGGGCGTTCAGTCAGCTCCTCTGTAACCGCCTCCTGGCCACCCTGCTGTTGCTGTTCAGCTGGTAGATGTTGACCCAGTGTCTGCTGGCACGCGACGGTCCGATGGGGCTGCAGGAGCATACAGATGTGCGAAGTGGGGCCGGCCCCTCGGGAGCACACAGTTGAATGGCAAGCCTAAAGTAACACGAAAGAAACTAGGGTCAAAAGCAGAGCTTGACGGGTACAAGATAGAAGCGAAGCCTAAAGGGTTTTCAGGATGAAGGGATGCTGTTCGTGGGAAAGATGGTGGTGTCTGCGTGAAGCCCAGCCTGTGACTCAGGGCCCGGGGTCGAGGCCCAGCCTCCCACCACCACGCGCTCACCCCTCCGGGTCTCGGGTTTCTCATCTAGAAGATGCAGACGGTGGATAACTTCTACCTTATAGAATTGCCAGCAGGATAAAATGAAAGCGTGCGTGTGAAGTGTTCAGTCCCACGTGAATCCTCGGTAACTGCTGAGCAGAGCAACAGCTAGTTCTTAGAGAGTCTGTGAAATTCCAACAGACGGCCTGGAGGAGGGGCCACCTCAGGTGCAAGGTCGATGTGAACAGGGCACAGAGGGGGGAGCGTGGGCAGCTGCGGGGTCCAGGATGTGGCCCAGCGCTGACTGCACGCGAAGGGGACAGCCCGCCTCTGCCCGTCCCTGCCGGGCCCCTGCCGTGACACCTGGTGTCGGGTACCGCTGGGTCATTTTCAGAGCTCTCTGTTTTCATTTCAACCCCACGGTGGCTTTCTAGGATATTCTCAGAGCTGCACGGTGGAAAAATTAAAAGTTGATTTCCGTGGTGTCCCATAGTCAGTGGCAGCAGGCAGCACGGGCACAAGGTGCTTTCCGCTGCCCGGCGCTGCCCGGTCAGGCCCCTGGACCGCGTGAGTTGGCAGCAGGCTTGACAGAGGCATGGAGTCCCTGCGGTGCGGTCATTGCATCTGGCCTGACACAATGTTCAGGTCTGGTCTTAATTAAGGAAGCCTGTGTTACTGAGCCCCGCCCTGGCTCCGTGCTGGAGTTCCCACGGCAGCTGCCTGCAGAAGCTTGAGTCCTGCGGGAAAGCCCGGCACCGCGCCCACTACGCAGGTGTATTCCCATCGGCGGTGTCTGGTAGGAGTCAGCTCGGCCGAGAGACCAGACGGCCTCGGTGTGTGTGCGACCCGGCCGAGCGGGCGGGGCCCGGCCCAGGGGCGTCGCACATGAGCCGGGAGCCACACGTGGGTGCTGGCTGGGAGTCGAGGCCACGGGTCAGCCAGCGTTCCTGTGACGCACCAGGTGGCGTCACTAGGGCTTTGCAGGTCGCTCTCGCATCGTTCAGTTCACCATTGCAGCGCAAACAGCCACAGACCCCTGAGCTAACAGCCAGCTCTGCTCCCACAGAGCCTTATTTACAGAAGCAGGCACCGGTGCGGTACAGCCCTGGGCTGCAGCTTCCCAGCCCCTGGCCTAGGCTAGGTTTTGGAGGCCCAGACCTTTCCTGTGTCGCTCTGAGCAGAGGCAGACCTCTTTGACTGCTAATTGTGGAAGAAGGCCTATCTGAACTTTTGGCAATAAGGGGCATACCTTTATTGTGCTTCACAAATAGTGTGTTTTTGACAGATTGAAGGTTTGTGACAGCCCTGTGTTGAGCAAGTCTATTGCCACTATTTTCCTAGCAGCTTTATTCTTTAATTAGGTACAATTGTTTTAGACATAATGCTATTGCATACTTAACAGACTACAGTGTAGTATAAACGTAACTTTTATACGCACTGGGAAACCAAAAAATTCGTGTGACTTGCTTTACTGCAATAATCACTTAACTCTGATGGTCTAGACTCGAACCCGCGGTATCTCCGAGGTCTGCCCGTTTAAATGTATAAGTAAGGAATACTTTTGAAAGAAACACTTTCTATTAATTTTAAGAATATACAACTTTTAGAGCTAGGTTTGCTAAATTTTTGCCTCATCTGAGGTCCTTAGTGATCTGTTTAATTAATAGATTAAAATAGTTTCTAATAATCAACATAACTTGGCATGAAAGTGGTGTCTGCAAAGTTCCCAAGAGCTTCTATTTCTTGAAAAAAATCCCCTAATTTTTACGTGGGTAAACTTTTCTTAAGGATTTACTTAGCCACCTTTTTTTTTTTTTTTTTTTTTTTTTTGCGGTACGTGGGCCTCTCACGCGCAGGCTCAGCGGCCATGGCTCACGGGCCCAGCCGCTCCGCGGCATGTGGGATCTTCCCGGACCGGGGCACGAACCCGTGTCCCCTGCATCGGCAGGCGGACTCTCAACCACTGCGCCACCAGGGAAGCCCTCTTAGCCACCTCTTTATTTATTGATAGCTCAAAGGCAAAACTTCAGTTTCAACTCCTTTTTGAAGCATTGCGTATTCTAAATCAGTAAAATCTGAAGTAACGGGGTTTGGTTGATACTTTGAAATTTAGTGACTTTGTTTAGATGGAGGTGCTCTTTGCCACCCCGATTCTTTGGCCATTTTTGTTATGGAGCTTTTCTGGGTTTTCTCTTTTATCCTTGGAGCTTCCATTGACTCCATTTTCACTCGTCCACAGCTACTCACCAAGGATCCCAAGCAGCGCCTGGGCTGCAGGGGCGAAGGAGTGGCTGAAGTCAAGGGACACCCTGTGTTCAGGGACGTTAACTTCAAGAGGCTGGAGGCCCACGTGTCAGACCCCCCTTTCCGTCCTGACGTAAGTGTGTTGCCAGAGAGCAGCGGGGTGTTGGGGTGTCTGAGAAAACGGATGTTTTCCAGGTAGGTTCAGGACCACCCGTCCCGCCCCCGGTGCCCCCTGGCCCGTCCGCACAGGCCCTCCCGGCCCGCTGCCGCCCTGGCTGGTGGAGCCCACCCAGGTCACTGCCCTGCTCAAAAACCTCAGCAGCACCCGACACCCTCCCCAGGGTGCCCCGCCAGGGTCCCCACGTTCCCGCGGCCCCTTCCCCCGCCCGGAATGCGCTTCCCCACGCCGGGTCTCGCAAGGTCCTGGCTGCACACTGAGGGCCCTGGAGTGGCCGCTCGAGCCTCCTGGTGAGCGCGTGGCGGGGCCACACGGGGCCACGTCCCCAGGGCCCAGCAGGCCCCGCGCACGTCGGAGCTGGGCCGGAGCAGCCCCCTCTTTGGCCTTGAGCTGCTGCAGGCCTGTGATGGAAACGTGGAGATTCGATCATTCCGCAGGATATGATGGGGCTGAGACGTGCGGTTAAAATAGTTTTAGTTGTACAGTCAGGATTCATTATGTTTACGTGGAATGTGTTGTGGCAGCAGCCTCTCCCTTTGAGCTCGTTCTCGCAGCGCCCTCCCACCTGCTCCAGGCACTAGAGTCACGGGGAGGACCAGCTCCAAGACGAGGAAAACCCAGCCGGGGCTGCTCAGAGCCTTCTTTCCACCAGGCCCTGTGCGCCGCGGGCCGCAGCCTTCCCTGAGGAGGGCGCCGGCTGGGGAGTGAGGGGCAGAGGCGCTGGGGCTGCTCCGGGGGCTCTCCTGCATTTAACCAGACGGTCCGGGGGCCCGCTGTCAGCAGCGTCTGAGGGCGTCAGGCAGCCTGGCAAGGGCGCAGGATGGGGTTCTGGCCTGGGCTCGGGCGTCCCCTGCACCGTCTCCTGAGGGCCGGCCCCCCACTGGCGGCTCCCACCTCTCCACTGCTCTCAGAAGTTCTGACCAGGGGCCCGGGATCGGCACGCTCCTTCCTTGTCGTGCACGCATCCCTGAGCCCTGGCTCCCTGAGCGGGGAGAGCAGAGCACGCATCCCTGAGCCCTGGCTTCCCTGCTCCAGAGGCGGCGGCCCGGGCTCCACACGCCCTGCCTGCTGGCCTGACTCTGCGCCCGAGGATGCCAGTGCCCGGTGGGGCTGGGGGCCTGGGGGCCTGCCCAGCGCAGATGGGGGCCAAGCAGGTGGACAGCACGTGCGCGAGGGAGGCCGAGGGCTGGAGGCTTCCTCTGCCGTGTCCCAGCAGGGGCACCCCGTCCGCCCTTCTCCACCTGCAGCCTCTGCCGTGGCCCGTTTCCGTGCAGGAAAGAGAAGAGGGGGCCTCGGGGGGCTTGTGGGCGAGAGAGTGGGGAGCTGGAGCAGACGGGCCGCGGGGCCTGTGGCTCTGGAGGTTGCTAGAGCAAGGATTGGACGTACTCCACGCCGGGAGGGATGGCGAGGAAAGGAGGGTGCAGGTGTGCGTGCGGCGGCTTCCCAGGTGTCCTGAGCGCCGCTGAGGGAAACAAACGCAGCGGCGGCCGTCTCAGCCGCGCCTCTCTGTGCTCTGTGACAGCCGCAGGTGGTTTACTGCAGGGACGTCCTGGACATCGAGCAATTCTCCACGGTGAAGGGCATCCGCCTGGACAGCACCGACTGCACCTTCCACAGCCAGTTCGTCACGGGCTGTGTCTCCATCCCCTGGCAGAGCAAGGTACTGCCCGTTGCAGCACGGCCCACCTAGCTAGTTACAACGACCAAGAAGAACCTTATGTGTGTAGAATGAACAGTTTCCTCTTTAAGATATCTTTTTAGCTATTTTACATACACATCCATTTGTGTGTGCGCGCACGTGTGCATGTTCGGAGGTAAAATTATATGTGGCAGCTGCCCCTGGTCCCTTCACGGGGGGTGGACAGAGGTGGCCCCCTCGGGTCTGCTGGGCTCTGCCGCCCTGAGCCCTGCTCCCTGAGCGGGGCTGGCTGGACGGGAGTTCACTGCTCTGGGGGCCACGCTGGCGGCCACGCGACCTCCCCCAAGAGGAGGGCAGGAAGCAGGGGAAGTAGGAGCCGAGGACGGGGGCCAGAGTGGCCGCCGAGCACTGGGCTGGGGGCCGGGTGGGCGGTGCCGGCCGGCCGCACGGGGCCTCCGCCACTCCTCTGTCCTGCCCTTCTGTGGGTGCAGATGACCGAGTCTGAATGTTCCAGGGACATCAACGAAAGGGGAAATGTGGCATTAGATCCAGAAGAGAAGACATATCAGCCAGCTCCCAGACAGAAGAGAGGCTTCTTCCACAGACTCTTCACTCGAGGGGTAAGGGTGACACACGTTCTGTTATTATTATTATCCCATTATAATGTGATGTGTTAAAAGGAATATTTCACCAAGGTAAAACTTTCTTTGTTCAGCTTTCTTTTTTCAGTGCCTCTTATATAAGATAATTTACATAGTTTGAAAGCCAGCCATAAGGTACAGTTTGAGCCCAGCGAGAAGAATCCTCACAGTGGTGTTTGTCATTGCTGTGAAAACTGTTCTGATGCAAGAAGAAGAAATGGCTTACAACACTCGAAAGGAGATCGTCTGTCCACGGCAAAGCATTTCACACTAGACTCAGAAATCAGCATCTTGTAGAACAACCATAAAACAGTGCACATCATTTCAATTTCTGCCTTACGTGTTCTGATTCTTTTTTTTTTTTTTTTTTCTTTTTTTGGCTGCATTGGGTCTTAGCTGCGGCACGCGGGATCTTTCGTTGGGGCACACAGACTTCTCTCTAGTTGTGGCTCAGTAGTTGCAGCACGCAGGCTCAGTTCCCGCGTGGCGTATGGGATCTAGTTCCCTGACCAGGGATCACACCTGCGTCCCCTGCATTGGAAGGTGTCATCTTAACCGCTGGATCACCAGGGACGTCCCCGTGTTCTGATCCTTAGAGCTGTCACATCATTCGCCACGATCACAGGGAAAGGCGATTTTCTTTTGAACATGGAGGAGTGGTTTGGAGACTTTCTGTGGTAGCATTAAATTTAGGAACTTTTTCCAAGTCTCCTTGGACCAGTGGATTATCCTGCCGTGAACCCCGTCTGTTCCCGAGGGGTTTGTGCCGAGGTTGTCCACTAACATCCATGGTTTTTCAGTATAGACCCAGAGTGTGTGACCACGTTTCCTCTGCAAACTGGGGGCTGGGCGGGAGTTAACCCCGTCCTTCTCTGGGGCCGAGTGTGTCTCGTTGCGAGTCGTCTCCGGTCCACACCGTGGGGGCCTTCAGTGAACCTGCGGCCGATGGAATCCATACGGTCGTTCCGGAAGGAAGGAGGCGCGCACCCCGCGCTGCTGAGCTGGGTGGTGAGCGTGGGGTGAGGTACGCAGCGTGAGTGCAGGACGCATGGGCGACGCCGTCTCTGTGTGAACCAAGCAGCCCGCAGGACGTGAAGCACACGGGAGCGAATTTAAGGGTTTCCCTGCCTTGAAGTCAGCACCCCGCGCCACGTTTTCACGTCCACTTAAGGCAAGTCAGCGACTTGCATCAGAAAGGCGCCTGACAGGCCTTGTGCCGGTCTTGCGGGCTGCATCAACGCCAGCCCCAGCGAGAAGGAGGGGCTGCCCTCCAGACGGCGAGCGCTTGCTGCACAGCCGGCCAGCGCCACGGAGCCTGTGCCCTGGGCTGCATCCTGCCCGTGAACTGCAATAACCGCGCGTGACACACCCTGAAACGCGCCTGATGAGTCTGTCCATTTCTCTACTTTCATACCTGAGTTGTCTTTTCACTAAAGCTGGATTGAGGAAAAGGCCTCTTGAGGACTCGTGACGCCCAGAAAGCCCCAGCTGCAGACGCCTTGTGGCGGGGACTCCGCGTGTCCCCGCGGGGAGGAGGGGAGAGGCCTGGGTGCCAGCCCTGCGGCGTCTGCGCCGAAGGCCCTGCTCCTCGCCCGAGGCTCCTCCCGCGCTCCTCCCGTGGGTGGGCGTCGGTTGGAAGATCTTGGCCCCTTTCCCTTCGTGTTCACCGCCCCGTGCCTCTCATCGAGATTCCCCCCACCCGCCCTCGGGCGTCTCCGCAGCGCTCCTGTCCATCCTCTGAAGGAGGGTGTTGCCAGGACCCTGAGGTCAGGGCTTGGCTGTCGGGGGCCGCTCTCCCTACCCCTGCGGTGTTGGACGGGTTTCTGTGGCCGTGGCCTGTGAGTCTCCGGGGCTGGGATCCCGGAGCCAGACGTGCGGGAGGGGCCCTGGCGTCGGGGCGAGGGGGCGCCCGGGGTGCACGGGCCTCGGCAGGGCCTTCTGGGGCCAGAGCGGCCTTTGGCAAGGTGAGAGCTGGTGGAGGGAAGAGCCGAGAAGCCTCCTGTGTCCTGCGACCCCGCTGGCTGCCCTGCCTCCGCGGTGGGCTGAGGTCAAGGTCACTGTCCCTTGGCTTGCTGGGGAGCCCTTGCCACCTGCCATGTGGGATCCAGGGGCCGGGCCTCAGAGACTGTAACCAAACAGCAGGGACTTGGTCCCGACGCTGTGACACCCGGAAAGCCACCGCCAGGGTCTGGTCCCGCGTCGCTCTCCCCAAGGGTCATCTGCCCCACCCAGCGCGTTCCAAGGTGTGGTTTGCATCTGCGCTGATGGAGCTGTATGCCGCATGCTGGCTGCAGTGGGGAGCCCAGTTGCCTGGAGGCCTGTGTCTAGAGCAGAGTCCCTCCCAGGCGACGTACCACAGACCAGGTGAGGGGAAGGGGGATCTATCTGGGGTCTGGGGCCTTGATTTTGGCAGGAGGGAAGTGGCTCGGCCTCTCCCCCACCTCATCCTGCCTCTAGAGGGAAGGTGGCAGGAGTTCCCACCTCCTGGGGGCTGGGAGCACATGCAGCAGGGTTTGGTCCACGCTACCTGCTCATAAAGAGGTTACTAATCGTGGAAAAGGAATACGTGCTCATCGTAAAAAACACAGGAGAGCGTAAAGAAAATAGGAATCACCTTTATTCCCACATCCTGTTTACATTCTGACTTCTTCCAGGCCTCCTTCCTCCCCTGCTGGGGCCCTCCTGCCTCCCGCTGTGGATCATCTGGGGGATGTGCGAGGGCCTGGCCCGTCACAGGTGGGGAGGCTGGGGTGCAGCCCACCTGCCTGCAGAGTGAGGAGAGGGGGACCGCAGGGACGGCCCGAGCCTGGGGGGTTGTCCGCACCCGGGGGCACAGCTACGGGAACCAGTCAAGTCCTTCTTTTTCTTTTCCTTTCTTTTCTCCTCTTTCCTTTTTTTGCTTAAGCTAGTCTGAGTCGCACGTCTCCATGCCCAAGTGAGAGCCCTGACAGAGACAACAAATCCAGGTAAGAATTTTTACAGGGTGTCTGGCAACTTAGTAGATTGAACATGTCTTTTTTTGTTTTCTTTGTTTCTGATTATAAGCAAATGTATATTTATTAAAGAGAATTTTGAAATTAAGACGAGTACACAAGGAAAGTTTGTGTTTAACGTCAGCCACTGTCCAGGGATAATCCCTCTCCGCATTTTATTCTGTAATGTATATAATTGATAGTTGTTTCTTGCCATGTCGTTAAATAGATCTGACTGCTTCACCTCTTATGGCACATTTTGACCATCATTTATTTAAACAGTCCTAACAAGTGTCGTTCCCACTTTTCTCGTCAATATGAATACCAATGGGACGGACGCCCCACACCTACGTCTTCGTACCCACACCTGATAATATTTCTGGGGTAGCTTCTCACCAGGGAATCCCTTAGTAAAAGGGTATGAACGATGGACATAAATCCTCCGAGAAAGAGCTAAAATGGCTAAAATGGTTATACCTAGAAAGCAGGTTCACTGGGATGGGCAGAACTGGAGCAGAGGAATGCTGTTTATAAGCACTGCATCTTGACTTTTCATGTATTATTAAGATAAAAATAAATGTGACCTTGTAAGGATTATTTACTTTCCCCCCAATAAAGCACAGCTATGCACTAAAAAAGGTATAGGATCATTTTTAAAGAATATATATGATTTGCCTTTATGAACAAGTTGCCCTCCTGAAAATGTTTAACCATTTGCCCTCCCACCAACAATGTTTAACAGTTCCTTGCTAAGTTTCACCAAAAACTCAGTTTTGATGAAGAGTTTCACCAGAAACTAGGTATCTTTCATTTCTTTTTTGTGGTAACATACACATAACACTTACCACCTTAACCATTTTTAAGTGTACAGTTCAGTGGTGTTAAGTGCGTTCACGTTGTCGCGCAGCCGTCCCCACCACGTGTCCACAGAACCGTTTCATCTTGTGAAACTGAAACTCTGTCCCCATTAAACACTAACCTCCCTGTTCTTCCCCTCCCCCAGCCCCTGGCCCCCACCATTCTACTTTCTGTCTCTATGGATTTGACGACTCTTGGGACCTCATATAAGTGGAATCACGTGGCGTATGTCTCTTGGGTCGGGCTTATTTCACTCAGCATAACGTCCTCAGGGTTCATCCATGTTGTAGCAGGTGTCAGAATCCCCTTCCTTTCTAAGGCTGAATCAGATTCCTTTCTGCTTCTCCATTCATCCGTTCATGGGCACTTGGATTGTTTCAACGTTTTAGCTATTGTGAATAACGCTGCTATGGACTTGGGGGTACAATATCTCCTTGAGACCCTGTTTTCAATTCTTTGGGGCACATACCCAGAAGTGGAATTGCTGGGTTGTATGGTAATTCTTGGTTTAATTTTTTGAGGGGCCACGATACCGTTTTCCACAGCAGTGGCACTATTTTATGTTCCCACCAACAGTGCACAAGGGTTCCAGTTTGTCCATATTCTTCTGAACACATCCTTTTTAATGGCTTTTTGGCATTATTCCAATATTTTATTAATTTTTTCTTTTTGGCCACACTGCACGGCTTACAGGATCTTAGTTCCCCAAACAGGGATTGACCCCAGGGCCCCTGTAGTGGGAGCGCAGAATCCTAACCACTGGACCACCAGGGAAGTCCCTCCGATATTTTAAAGTATTAATGTTTCTACCAATTCCCTATTGTTGCACATTTACGTTGTTTCATCTTCTTGATACTATTAATATTGCTTCAATTACCATCTTTGTAGCTCCATCTTCGAATGCTTGTCTGATAACGTCCTGAGTGACGGTCCACAGGTATATATGCTAAGTCAAATGGTTCAGGTACTTAAATCTTCTCGTATCATCTCATTTATTTATTTATTTTTTGGCCACACCACGCAACATGTGAGACGTTAGTTTCCTCCACCAGGGATCGAACCTTTCCCCCTGCGTTGGGAGCCCAGAGTCTTAACCACCGGACCGCCAGGGAAGCCCCCTTTAATCTGCTGACGGATCCACATCTTCTGACGTTGCCAAGTTACTCTTCAGAAGAATGACAGGACTGTATCATAACTAGCAGTTCTTGCAAGGCCTTGCTTCCTGTGTCCTCATCAATCCTGGCTAGCACTCTCTTTACTCACCTTTTCTCAGGTTCTTGCTGAATCTTACTGAATCAACTTACGCTGTTTTCATAAGTTGCTAACTCCGAGTTTCCCGCCTTACCCTGGAGCATCTGAGCCAGGACTTCAGAGCCTGTGATGAAATGCCACCCAGGGTCAGACATTCCCCCTCCTGCTCTGTGCTTTGTCATCCATGAAGCGAGGCATGTGGCGTGAGAGTGTTCCCTTTGTCTCATTCCTTGAAGTCAAACTTTCCCCCT